GCAGTAAAAATTAATAATTAATTAATTAAATTAAAAAAAACCAACATTCAATAACAAATACAAATTCCATAATAATAAACATCCCATATTTGTAATAAATTGTATATTAAATACAAATGTCACTATATTATTATTATTGTTTTTATTGTTATTACTCTTATTATTGTTATTATTGCTATTATTATTATTGCTATTATTATTGCTATTATTATTATTATTATTATTATTATTATTATTATTAATAATAATAATAATAATAATAATAATAATAATAATAATAATAATAATAAAAAAATTTCCATAAATAATAAAGGGCTTTGTAAGTAGGGACTCCATGCTCCAGGCAGGCTCTGCATCCTTAATAAATTCAATAATAATAAATATTCCATACTCATTAAAAATTCTATAATAAACAACAAGGTTATTATTATTATTGATAGTAGTAGTAAAAATAATAATATTAATAGCAGTAGTAGTAGTAGTAAATTCCACAAATTATAAAGTGTTTTGTGTGTAGGGATTCCATGCTCCAGGTGGGCTCTGCATCCTTAATAAATGCCATAAGAATAAACATTCCATACTCATAAAAAATTCTGTAATAAATACAAATGGCATTATTGTTATAATAATAATAATAATAATAATAATAATAATAATAATAATAATAATAATAATAAATCCACAAATTATAAAGTGCTTTGGGTGAAGGGATGCCATGCTCCAGCTTGGGCTCTGAGGATTCCCTGGATCCTTCCCTTCTCCAGGGAACATTCCCAGGGCTCTGAGCTCTCCCTGGATCCTTCCCTTCTCCAGGGAACATTCCCAGGGCCCTGAGGATTCCCTGGATCCTTCCCTTCTCCAGGGAACATTCCCATCTCTCCCAGCCTGCCTCCAGAGGGGCTCCAGCCCTTGGAGCAGCTCCGTGGCCTCCTCTGGAATTGCTCCAGCAGCTCCAGGTCCTCCTGATGATCCCATTTCTCCCTAAATTCCCCAGTTCCACACCCTCGTGCTGTTAGGAGGTCTGGGAGCTCTGCTGCCATTCCAGTTCTCCCCTTGCAGGGCTGCAAGATCCCCCAAAAATGGGGATTTGGAGGTTTTTGCTCCATAATTCCAACCGGGAGAACTCCTCATCCCGGAACTCCCTTCCCATCCGCCCCACCTTCCACAGGGAAGCTCCTTCAGGCACGGAAGGAGCTCTGAGCTCTCCCTGGCAGGAGCCGCGTGCCTGGGGGCGGTTTCTCCGGACGGACACCCGCGTTCCCACATGGCAAAGATCCCGTTGTCCCGTTCCCCTGAGACCCCAGCGGGTGACACGGCTGCCAGGGGCGCTCCGTGGCGTCCCCGCGGTGTCCCCGCGTGTCCCCGCGTGTCCTCGCATGTCCCCGCGGTGTCCCCGCGTGTCCCCGTGGTGTCCCCATGTGTCCCCGTGGTGTCCCCATGTGTCCCCGCGTGTCCCCGCGGTGTCCCCGCGTGTCCCCGTGGTGTCCCCATGTGTCCCCGCATGTCCCCGCGGTGTCCCCGCGTGTCCCCGCGTGTCCCCGCGGTGTCCCCGCATGTTCCCACGTGTCCCCACGTGTCCCCGCAGTGTCCCTGCATGTCCTCGCGGTGTCCCCGCATGTCCCCGCATGTCCCCGCATGTCCACGCGGTGTCCCCACATGTCCCCGCGGTGTCCCCGCGGTGTCCCTGCATGTCCCCGCGTGTCCCCGCGGTGTCCCCGTGGTGTCCCCGCGTGTCCCCGCGTGTCCCCGCATGTATCCGCATGTCCCCGTGGTGTCCCCGCGTGTCCCCGCGTGTCCCCGCGGTGTCCCCGCAGTGTCCCCACATGTTCCCGTGGTGTCCCTGCATGTCCCCGCAGTGTCCCCGCGGTGTCCCCACATGTCCCCGCGTGTCCCCGCGTGTCCCCGTGGTGTCCCCACATGTCCCCGCATGTCCCCACGTGTCCCCGCGTGTCCCCGGTGCCACTGACCCCCTGCAGGCTGTAGACGTAGACCTTGCCCCGCTCCCTGCCCTCACTGAAGAACATGGGCGCTCCCACCAGCAGCACGTCGGTGACGCCGTCGCCGTCCACGTCCAGGGCGCCGATCTCGCTGCCGTAGTAGGAGCCGATCTGGAGGGGACAGGACGGGCTGGGAATGGCGCCACCGGCCCCTGGGATCCACGGGG